GTTTGTGTGGCTCTGAACGCAGGCGTGTGCTTCAGACATGGGGTCCCACTGACACTCGCTGCCCACGTCAACCAGACTCCCTTCTGACCACCTCTCCCTCCCCCAGAGGCGGGAAGCCCGCTGGGGGAGGAGTTGAAATTGCTAAGAATAGCCATGGTCTTTGGGACTTGCTGTTTTTAAGGAATCAGTGGAATTAGAAATGAGATATTAGCTCTAATCAATCACATATGCTAGGAAAAGAATTTCTGACTGTAGCTCCGCACCCAGTGGGGAAAAAGCATCTACACCTGTGGATCTGGCGGGGCCCCTCTTCTGTCCTCTGGAGGGTCCAGGACGAAAGTACATGCTGTACTAAGTAGAGGCTGTCAGTCTGTCATCTGGTCTGATCCGAAGTGGCCAGACTTCTGACTAAGCATCCCCTATGTGGCTTTTCAACAAGTGTAGACGAATTTCAAGGCACACATAGATCCAGATGGAGCCAAGAACTGGGGGCTGGAAGAGAATTCCACCCTCCCCTTTGTCTTTTTCCTTAAGTTTCTGAGATGTGGGGGCGTTTGGAACATTAGGCACACCGTGAAAGTATGGGTTTTTGGTTTGGTTTGGCTTGACTTCCATTTTACAAAAATTTAAAAATATGAGAAGAGTCAAATGAACCCCTGGGTGCCCGTGATCTTGATGCCAGCCATATAGATGGTCAGCAGGTTTTCACGGAGCAGGCACGCTCCTCGGTAAGGCCCCTTGACTACCTGCGTCAGAATCAGCCCCAGACCTCTCCATCCGGGACCTCCAGGCAGGCTGGGACACTGCCCCGCACGTGGTCCCCAGGTACTGCTGGCTGTCAATAGCTCACAGTAGCTCAGGGATCTGTTAACTTGCCCCTGAGCTCTTTGTGTCACCATCTCCGCCAGTTCCAGTGAGTGGCCAGAATATTCTGCTCATGATACCATCTCTTTGCATTACACCTTTGAAAAACAAACACGAACAGGGAGAATCAGCCCTTTTCTTGTTCCTACACAGCACTCTTCCACATGGCTACTATGTGTGACCCTTGTTCAAACTTCACAGAGCTGCAGTGAAAATAAAACCTCATGTTAAGGGTCTTGCCAACTCTTTAATACTTACGTTTCATTTATGATTCGCGTTGAAAGTTGGCCGTATAGCCCTGGGCCTGGGCTTAACTAGAAATGCCTTGTGTGGATTGTTTGTGTATGGCTGATGCAGGCGAGTACCTACACACTCACGGAGAACACTAGGAGAACTTTTAAACGTCGACATTCAAGTTTTCCAAAGACAGCAAAGAGCAGAGTTAATTTTCTGGAGAGATTCTGAGTCCAAGGTCACATCTACAGTCGTCTAGAATTGGGAGACTGCATTATGTCATTTTAAAAAGAAGGAGGTAACAGGGGTGGCTGAAGTGGAAAAGGACAGGGGTGGGTGGTCAGGGAACAAAAGGCCGATTGGGCATTAGCACGTCCAAATCCCAGTCTGACAGCAGAATTGTGGCCAGGTAAGAGATCAGAGCCCCTTCCTGAAAGCTCCTCCAGATCAGTACCTGTTTCTCACACGTATCTGCCTTCCTCCCCACACCGTGCTCAGGACTGCCCGGAGCAGGTGCCTGGGGTTGGCTGAATGCTCGTATGAATGCTGTTTCTCAGCTGAAGTTTCACAACTTCAGGAACCACGTTCACTTACATAGAATAGGGGGTGAATGGAGCCCCTCAGCTGGGCACCAGCTAGCCCTGGATGCCTTCTGGAAGGACCACAGTGGCCACTATGAGCGCAGACTCTGGGTTAGCAGATTAGATCAGCGTGGTTTGCATTTGCCCTGCTGTTGTTCGCTCACTCACAAATGCTCCTCTTCTACAGGTTTATGCTACTTTCCCAGGGATGCCTGGGGGCCCGGTCCCATTTGGGAATTGACTCTCCTCCACCCCAGTACCTTTTATCCTCAGCCTTCCTATCCCTGTTCTTTAAGTATCACAAATGCTGAGAATATCTGGGATGCTTACAGTCGAAGACATTCACTTGATTGAGGTTCTAACAGAGGCTTTAAAGTTATGGCTCTTGGAGAAAGGAAGGATAAATATGATATTCTGGGCACACACTTTTTCAATTATGGGCAGCTCAAACCCGGTATTGCTTCTCATCCATCTCAATCTGAAGGCTGGTGGGGAAGCTGCTTCTAAACATCTTTGCACACTTAATCTCAAACCCCACTCATGCAGCTTCTAAATTTTTAAGATTAATCAAATCTAAGTCTTGCAAAGTGCACACTCTGATTTATACGAGTTTTGGCAAACAGGCACAGCGAATAAAAAGCTTCTTAGTTGGAAATGACAGCGCTAGGGGAACAAGGGATAGAAAACCATATAAGGGCACCCTGTTTTGATGAGTCAATGGCAGCTTCTGGAACTCAGTTAAAGGACTCTGAACATGCTGTTGTAGTAGATGGAGGCCTCTAGGCAACAAGGCAGGAATTGGTGTGTTCCCCCATCCTTAGATTTATTTTTGAGCTCTAGTTCCCATGAAGGAAACCCTAGGAATTCCGGTCTCAGAGGAAATGGCACAAAGGTGTGCAAGGATCTTGGGGTAGGAGCTGGAGGTGAAGGGCGAGAAGCTGGAATCAACTCTGGCTGAAGAACACATCTTCTAGAAAGATGCCCAAGTGTCCAATGCCCAGGGAGCAAAGGGCTCAGTGAATTTGAACTTGATTGAAGCTATTGCTGTCCAAGAAGTTCTGACATAATGAATCAACATGGCAGCAGTCAGTAGAGGATAGTAGCATGTTGTTAGGACTGACACTAAGTTCATGGTTCTGAGTTACTCTTCCATTAGAAGCATTTCCCAGCAGTTGAGTCAACCTTAATCCCAGCCTTAATCTTTAGCAAACTTAAGCTTGTCCCGTAAGAGCACTGAAAGTGGAAACCTTTTGGCTGACTGTGCCCTGTTCCCCTGCCAGGGGAGGGGCATGGACAGAGTTAGACTGGCTGGCTGAGTGGGCCGGGCGGAGGGCAGAGTGCCAGCCCACAAAGAAAGTATTCAGTAGGAAACAGAAGCAGGCAGAAGCCCAGCCACACAAATGGGGCCATCTGATGTGAGATGTGGGGGGAGTTACGGCTTGTCACACTCAGCACCAAGTACAACAGTTATGGCACAGAGATGTAGCAACAAGTTCCAGACCTAGCAGAGAAGGGTCTGAGCCCTTGGACGAACACTGGTCTTTGTCAGGCTGGCCTGAACATTGGGCGGGGCGGGGCGCTGCAGCTAACTTAGGGGGAAGGTCTCTTCCTTTCTAAGATTCATGTCAGAGGAGCAGTACCTCTATGAAAACAGAAGAGAGCTTAGAACCAACACCTCGAAAATAATTATTTCAAATAAACATCGGATGGATGCCTGGGTGGAGTCAGTCAGGAATCTTCCTTCAGCTCAAGTCCTGATACCAGGTTCCTGGGAGGGAGCCCCACGACGGCTCCCTGTTCAGTGGGATGTCTGCTTCTTCCTCTCCTGCTCCCCTTTGCTTGTGTTCTCTCTCTCTTGCAATTAAATAAATAAAATGTTTTTAAAAAAACAAATAAGATAAACATTTGAATAATACCTCTTGTGTGTTATTCTACATTTTCTTTTTGGGTCTTTTGTAATACATGCCTGTATTGTTCCAACCCACCACATGCACTGAAACTTTTCCTGAAGAGGCAGCGGAGCATCAGAGTAACAATCTGCGCCTCCTTCCATAGTGGGCAGCAAGAATTCGGCTCACAGTTTAATCCTGTGTGCCAGGCATCTGGCTTGCCCTTGCGGAGTTCATGCTCTTCTGAGACATGAGGTTAACATGCAGGAAACGATAGAGACCCATATAAGCCAGATGGTGAGTGCCACAGGGATTCAAAGAAATGGCTGATACATGAGGTTCACGATCATGGGGAAAAGACATACAGAACCCAAGCACAGGTAGGATGCAATTGCAGGGAAAGAGTGAGAGGCACAGAGCGCTCATGGGCTGGTGCATGGGCTGCAGCAACCCGATGAAGACCACGAATATCTCCCCTTTTGTCGACGAGGAAACTGGGCACAGCCAGTTCCTGCTTTAACCACCACCATCCCTTCCTCTCGTAAGCTACCGATAGGGTGACCACAGCGTGAGTCATTGGCAGGATCCTGCTCACAGGTGCTATGTTTGATTTCGCTTTTAATTATTAGCATCCCTTGTTCTTAGGTCCTGTGAGCGGTCCTGGAGGAAATACTTGAAACTGGTACCCTCCAGGAGCATCCCTTCTTCCCTGATGCGTCTGGGGATCTGGAGTGGTGAGCTACAGCACTGTCCCCCGTCTCACACTAGACTTGGCATTCCAGAATTGGAACTGGCTCCACATCAGGGACCACAGTCCGTGAGGAAAGGCTTCAAAGTACCTCTGCTCTTTGACCAGAAGATATAAAATTTCTATTACTGTATTTTACCATTCTCTTCGTGTAAGTAGATCGGATCTTTAAAGAAGTTCAGTTTCTTGATTGTTATTGTGTGTTTACTATGAGCGATGTATGGTAGGTTATAAGGGAGACGGTGATGAATAAGAAAAGGACTTGGGGGTGGGAAGAGTATATGGAAATAACTGAAACATGAAGCCAAACAAACAGCAAAGTGTCAGACCTGGAAGAACTGGGTTTGATTCCGGTCTTCACTACTTACAGGACTTACAGACTGTGTGATTTTAGGGTAAGTCACTCAATGGCACTGAACTCAATTTGCTGATCTGTTCAGGAGAAAGAATAAGAATTTGTCTTACTGGATCGTCGTGATGATTAAATTCAGTATTTTGATAGGCGCATTAAAAATGTCATACAAATATTAATTATTATATTTCAACTATATCAATGCTGCAGTAGAAATTGTCCATGTTAAAAGAATGGGAGCTATCTAGTGGGAATATCTGTTCAATTTGGTTGTGAATGGTGCACCTTCCTGTTTAGTCCTATTCTAATATTTTCCTCACTTTCTCTTTTAGGATACGGAGGCTCCTTCCTTGAGCATCCTTGAGCATCACCCTCATATGGAGAATTAAAAATAGCCCTGGGAAGGAAAGGCAGGGAGCAGAGGTGAAGAGAGTGGAACGTTGCTGTTGGTGAAATGACTGGCAGTGTTTATTTTCAATCACAGAGCTGTACACCCATGCTCACTGAGTGTCTGTCCACATCCAGGTCTTAGTCTGGGAATGTTCCAAATGAGGCAAAGCTTGAAATTACACCTGCTCTTCGGCAGGACAGGGGGACGAATCCTCAAGTATTATTCCTAATTATTTTGGTCCTTTAATGATGTCTAGCCTTCCAAATATGGGATCAGACATTTACCCACACCTAGCTCTCCTCATATCAACATTTTTTCATTTTTTTCCTTCAATAAATCTTAATTGAGAGCTTACTATGTGCTAAGCACCATACTGGGCACTAAGGCTTCCGACACACCTAAGACCTAGCCCCTGACCTTCCACCATTGAGAGCGTCATAGAAGATGGAAGTGGACAGTTTCAAAATGATGCATTAGGTACTCCCAAAATAAAATAAGATGCTCTGGGGCCTCACTTCCTCTGAGAAAACTTTCCTTTGGTGCCCTTAGGCTGCATTACACACTCTTTCTAAGGCAAGTCTCCAGACCACCTGATTTTTTCAGTTAAGATTTACTGAAAGAAAATACGAATGAATGAATGTTTGTAAGAGACAAGGTGGATAGAGGTGAGCCTGCTCATACAGAGACCTAACTGTCTATGAATGGTCTTGCAGGCTTTGTTCCATTTGGAGATATTCAAAAACTGCTTGTAAGATCAGGTTTTTTGTTTTTTTTTTAAGATTTATTTCTTTTATTTTTAAAATTTTTTCCATTTTATTTTATTTTATTTCTTTTCAGTATTCCAAGATTCATTGTTTATGCACCACACCCAGTGTCCCATGCAATATGTGCCCTCCATGATACCCACCACCCGGATAAGAGCAGTTTTTTAAAATGAAACACCATAACCTTGGGACAACACGGATCTAGCAGAAATTTCTTTTCAGGCATACAGACCAAGCAGAAGTTTGATTATTATAATGTCTACTGTTGACAAGCTCCCTTCGATGTTTTCTGTTCCTTACAATAACCCCATAAACGGTCTTAGTATCATCTCTATCTTACAAGTGATAGAGCCTAGCCATAGAGTGGCATTTATCCGCTCCCATAGGGTAACAACCTGTTAAATCAGATAATCAAAGGAAATAAGGAAGCAGTACTTGGGCAACCAGAACTCGAGTTTTTGTTGAATTAAAGTTCTAAAATGGTCCCAACTTTTGCTTCATTCAGATATCCGAGCTTCTACTGGATTCTATTTCATTCATAATAAACTAAAGAAGATTCTAATCCTTGTTTCTGGGTAGATGTGGATAGTATAATATGAAAAATTAGTACAAACATCATAAAACATTAAGTGGAATGTTGATAGTAAGTTTAAAAGTTGATCATTCAGTTAAGGAGACTGGTTGGAATTTGAAACTGTTAAAATGACCAGAAGATATTCTTCTAAAACTGATGATGCTGTGGCTATCCAGTTTTGGAACTTTCATCAGATTCAACCCAATAAACATTTCCCAGGCACCTACTATGTGGCAAGTGCTGGGACAGATACTGAAGATGCAAAGATGAAAAAGTGTCTCTTCCTGTTGTTGTCTGAAGTTGCTCTGATTTGAAGCCATGTGGACAGGCTCTAAGGAAGCCCAGAGGAGGGAAGGAATGATGCTGCTTGGTGCGTAGCTCACAGGAACGCTTTCTCGATGGGGCAACCATTGAGTCAGAACTAAGCCCTAGCTGGACTACAAGAAAGAAGGACACTTTTTTAAAAAAAAAACTTTATTTATTTGAGAGAGAGCACAGGCTGAGGGTTTGGGTACGGGGAGAGGCAGAGGTAAAGGGAGAAGCAGTCTCCTCCTGAGTGGGGAGCCCAATCTGGGACTCGATCCCAAGACCCTGAGATCATGACCTGAGCCGAAGGCAGATGCTTAATCAACTAAGCCACCTAGGCGCCCCAAGAAAGACACTCTTAGAGTAAGAAATGGTAAGAAAATCCACAGAGACACAGGAGAACATGGGTGTTTGGGTTTCAGGTTGCAGGAAGCTGGAAAGGGAGCCTGGAATTAAACTGGGAAGGCTTTGTCAGTTATGGTGTGGGGTTGTGAGAATGGGGTGGGGAATCAGAAGAAAAAATGGGCAATGAGCCCCTGAAATAGTTGACCCAGAACTTAATTATCTTCTGGGAATGGCACTGAAGAACTCAAGGGGTTTTAGAGGCCGGGGCCCTGGGTTTGAGTCCTATATCTGCCTATCACCAACCATGTGACTTTGGCCAGTTTATTTAACCTAGGCTGTAAAAGGAAGCTAACAAACATATGTATCCTACAAGGTCATTGTGAGAACAGAAGGAGATAATATCAGTCACAAACCGTGTCTATGAGGTAAAGCACTTTGTGAATGCTAATTACTATTATTATTTGATGTCGAAAAGAGAGAGGCTGGGAGTGTCCATTTGTTTAATATTCTTTCTTTGTGTTTTCAAGAATTCTTGTTTTTCTTTCCTTTTTTTTAAAAAGATTTTATTTATTTACTTGACAGAGAGAGTGTGAGCACAAGCAGGGAGAGGGGAAGAGGGAGAAGCAGGCTCCCCGCCGAGCAGGGAACCCAATGCGGGACTCAATCCCAGGACCTTGGGATCATGACCGGAGCCAAAGAGAGTCGCTTAATCGACTGAGCCACCCAGGCACCCCAAGAATTCTTGTTTTTCTACAGCACTGTGTAAATGCTAATGGTTTGCTTTCCACATGTCACAAAAACCCTTATTAATTGTGATACTTCTAAACTTGGTATACAGCCTAGTGTAGACAGGGGCAAAAGGAAGCTAGCATTTTTTAGTACTTGGCCATGCCAGTCAATTGGCAAACATCATCTCATTTGATCTGCACTGTGATACTTTGATGTATTTATTGTCCCTGTTCACCAGCTTAGAAAATCAATGTTGGGAGTTATTGAACTTGTCCAGATTAGTTAAGAAGTGGCAGAACCTGGATCTGAAAGTCTTGTCTGTGCTGATGCTGATCCCCATGCTTGTCCCCGCCCCTGCCCAATACACACTGTGCTGTGCAGAGCACATAGGTGTGCTTAAACTAAATACCCCACGTCTTTTTCCTCTGGTGCCTCCCCCGTGATGAAGCCGCTCCTGAACTGGTCATGCTGGCAACACATGGCTCCATGGCTGATTGGGCTGCTCCTGATCTAAGCAGCACCCGTCATCTTCCTCCTGAAATTTGGAATTGGGATATTTAGCATCTGAGCCTGTGGGAACCAGGCAGAAAGGACAAGCAGAGTCAGCGCCAACAGCAAGCAAGGTGGGCAAAGGGCTGTCTCAGCCTCCCGTGAACTCCCAGTTTCCAGCTCCAATTCAAGAGACATTTTGATACCCTTAACAAAAATTTCCCTTTTTTGAAACTAGCTTGTCCTGTAATCAAATAGCCTCGATCAAAGCAGCACACAGTGAATGTTTCTCTCCTGAGCAGCTTCCTGTGACACTCTATTGTTTTTATTAATTCTTTGGTCTGTAGGTCATTCTTGTCAGTTTGGTTCTGGAGCCCTTGCTCTCGTAGGATGAATGAATAATGTTTTGGAAATCACTCACCCGAGAAAGGTGGCAAATAGTGGAACAGAGGTATTTGGAAAACATAAGAGTTTTAGGCTATTTTAGATGGTCTGAATACCTATGAATAAATCATATAATATTTCTAAAATCCAAAGGATGCCTCATTTCAATGCATTTTTTTTGTTCTGTTTTGTTGTTGTTGTTTGAAAGAGAGAGTGAGAGAGCACGCAAACAGAGGGAGGGGCAGAGGGAGTGGGAGAGAGAATCTTCAAGCAGGTTCCATGTCCAGTGCAGAGCCTGAAGTAGGGCTTGATCTCACGACCCTGAGATCTTGACCTAAGCAGAAATCAAGACTCAGACGCTTAACCAACTGAGCCACCCACGCACCCAATTTCAATGTATTTTTTAAATTATTTGTTACAGGCTAGGATTTCTGGTTCCACTTTTAGTAATAACAACACATTTTTTAAATTTAAATTTAGTTAATTAATATATAGTGTATTATTAGTTTCAGAGCTAGAGTTTAGTGATTCATCAGTTGCATATAACACCCATTATTATTTAATGCCCATCAGCCAGCTACCCCATTCCCCACCCCCACCTCTCCTCCAGCATAAACATTTTTAAAGTAGAAAGGGCACTGAAAAGCAAAGACCCACCTGTCTGGAGACTAGCAAAAAAGCAACGACAGATAGCATATTTCCTTAGAGGAAAAGTCCTGTAGCAGACATTAAGTCAGGGAGAGGAATACTTTATGACCTTAATACAGTAGCTCAAAAGAATAGTTCAGCATTCCTTTTGGGTTTTTTTGTTTATATTTTTTTAAAGTTTATTTATTTATTTGACAGAGATCACAAGTAGGCAGAGAGGCAGGCAGAGAGAGAGAGGGAGGGGAGGAAGCAGGCTCCCTGCTGAGCAGAGAGCCCGATGTGAGGCTCCATCCCGGGACCCTGGGATCATGACCTAAGCGGAAGGCAGAGTCTTAACCTACTGAGCCACCCAGGTGCCCCTTGTTCAGCATTCCTTTTGAGCAGTATATGAATAGGAGGGAAAGGTGTTAAGTTGAAAAGGTTAACTCAACTTTATTGTGCCTGGGTGGTTCAGTCCATTAAGTGTCTGCCTTGGGCTCAGGTCATGATCCTCAGGGTCCTGGGATCGAGCCCCAGGACAGGATCCCTGTTCAGCAGGGAGCCTGCTTCTCCCTCTCCCTCTGCAGCTCCTCCTGCTTATGCTCTCTCTCTCTCTGTCAAATAAATAAGTAAAATATTTTATAAATAAATAAAGTAATGGTTCTATTTTGGGGAAATATTTCTGGAACTATTTTTGAGAAAAAAAGGCCTGTTTTAGAAAAGTGTGCTGCATTCTCTCTGACTCAGCTGACCAGGCCTAAGGGGATTTCGAGGGGTCTGGATTCAGAGGCTGCAACCAGATGGCGGCTTTGTTAGTACCTTGGCAGAAAGGGAGCATCACTGTTGAAATGGGGACTCCTGTTCATAGAACAGTGGCAGATATCATAGTACCAAAATGACTACTCCAGTGCACTGAC